ATTCCGACCCGGAATTTTGGGGATCCCCCTGTATGAGTTCTAATTGTGAGTGGGTCAACCTGTCGATCACCCGAGCATAGTGTTCCGAGTTGGTAAAAATTTTTCCAATCGATTAGTTGCCAATAGCGATGTTACCCAAACTATTTGGGACGTTCCAAACTATGTGATGAATAATATCGCATTAGGTATTACATAGAGTTACGGCATTTTGCCATTTGGTAGAATTAATTACGGCATAGTACGTATCTAATTGCCGTAAATATTATATGCATTACATCTCAAAAAATTACGGCAAATTACCAATTAATTCTACCACCAACTATAACTCAAACTATTTGGGACGTCCCAAACTGCCAACTATAATTTGGGTAACATTGCTAGTTGCTGCAACTAATCGATTTTTCCTATCATGTGACTAAATTTATTGATTGGCCAATCAAACTAAAGAAATCAACATGAATAGACGGAATATCTCAGTTGATGATTAATCGATTAGTTGTTTCAAATTTTTCCAAATCGATTAGTTGGAAAGTTTTCAACTAACAATTTGGATCACTACCCGAGTACTCTGCGGGGCTACCCGGGTGGTGTTTCTTTGGACAGGTCAGCTTTCATTTAAATTTTATATACAGTACCATATAAAACTAGATCGCAAAGACTTTTTAATTATCGTAACTAGAAAGAATCGCATAGCAAAAGTATCCGTTAAAATAAAAAAGTAAAATATATATGCGTTCCAAAGTACATTAATACAAATTGATGGTTATAACTATAGATTCTGTTATTGTGTAATTGTTTAAATTCATTTTAATTCCTTTAATTAAATGCATGTAATTATTTATAAATACAATAAATACATTCTATATATATATATGCATTTATTTACGTACGTACCACAACGATGAAGATCGCGTTTGAACTAAAACAGAGAAAAGCAGTTACACGAAATAATAGCCATTTTTCTAAGTGATTTGACGATGTAAATCAGGCAAGATCATCAACCAATGTACCAACTATTGTCGGAAAATAACGCCTCAAGATTTTTAATTCTTTTGCGTAGTAAGTGTTAATGCTTTTTCAAAGATAGAAACGAATGTTAAGCGATTGAAAGTTACTTTATTGTTCACATTTTTTTACTTGTCGATTTTAAAATTCCAAATTAAGGAATGATTTAAGTTATCGTTATAATTGATTGATTCTTTTGGAAATTGATTAAGGTTTTTTATTGCCCTTTTGAATCAGGAATGCATTTTTTAAAAAACATTATTGGTTTCTGTTCATTTTCTAGAATATTTAAAATGGAACAATCCTACATATTAGATAACACATTCCCAAACATTATCCTTTTTTGTACAAAATATCAAAATACTTCGTACTACCGTATCTGGTACCATCCGGCTTTATTGCTCAAAAGGTAATGATAGTTAATGGGGCTTAATATGAACGATCGAAGATCTACATACATTCGTGCGTGTGTTTCTGAATTTTTTTTTCGTTATTTTGACAAGGACCCGTTTCTAATATAACAGATGATCTTTTCGACCCTCCCTGATTTCATTAATTAATAATTTCTGGCTCATTCAAAATAGCCTGTCGTCCAATAATTGAATAGTCGTTGTCGCCTTCTTGTCGTCTTAATGAAATGGTCAACAAGTAGGTCTGTACCACACAATGATAACATAATTCTTTTGGTACAATGCAGGATGCTATTCCAGTTACACCCTGCCCGTCAATGAATATCAATAAATACTCCCTGATCTTGTAAGGTGGCAATAATCCTCTTTTTTTGCTTTATAACAATTTTATGAGGATTTAATTAATCTCTTAGATAATTTGATTAAGTTTTATGTACTTCATATTATATATTTAATAATATCATTAATAGTTTTAAGCTTCTATTTCAATGTCGACCGAAGATAAACGAGATGATCATAATGCGCAGATAGATATTACTTCTGCTCAAAATTCATCTGGATTGTTAACCGAGAGTTCTGAGCACCCCGGCCTTGAATTTGTTACACCTGATGCTGTTGAAAAGAATATTCTTGGAGATGACAATGTTGTTGTCTCAGAGAGTGAAAAAGCCACAATTAAATTTCTTTCACACCCAATCACTTGGATCATAAATACCGTTGGCATATTAAAAATGAATCCAGTGCACCTTTTGTTACTGGCCATCATCCCTGCCGCTATAACGAAGTGGTCCCCTTTTTGCTTTTTTGCGATCATACCCTTATCTAATATAATGACAATAGCCATTGAAGATTTAACCGCCAGAGGTACAACGGTATGTAATTTTTAAACGATTTCATATTAGACCATGCAAAATTAATCGATTTTCATAACCCGGCTGGATCAAAATTTGAAAAACATGTAAAAAAAAATTTTTTTTTATATGGTTTAATAATAACCGGGTGGGTTTTTACAAAAAAATTTTTTATATGTTTAATAACCGGGTGGGTTTTTTATAAAAAATTTCTTTATATGTTTAATAACCGGGTGAGTTTTTATAAAAAAATATATATATATAAACTTTTTTAAAAAAAAGCCAGCCGGCCGGCCGGGTCTGTTTAAAAGTTTCATGTTATGAAAATCAAGATATTAAACTCGTGTGGACTTATTATTATTATTATTATTATTTGAATGTTGTAATCTAATCTTACCATCCGTTTGTAGCCCTATGCCGCTGTTCTGCACGCTTTTTCTGGAAATTTTGTTGAACTTGTTATTGAAACTGTGGCATTGAAAGATGGAAGATATAATATCGTTCGTTCAGCTATATTAGGTTCTATTCTATGTAATCTTACCTTGGTTCGTATAAGAAATGTTGTACATTTTCTTTTTGAATTATTCTAATATTTAAGTTTTAGGTTCTTGGTTTGACATTTTTGGCGGGTTCGTGGCCTACACAAAGGCGTCTAACTCAAGCTTATATAAGTCAATCCTCCATCCATTTAAAGGACTCTCATTTCAAAGCAAGGTTGTTTGTGAATACGAGTTCTTCAATATTGGCTCTTTCCGTTCTTGCATTAGTTACACCTGCTGCATTCAGAATGGCCGCTGCTTCACAAGCTACCGCCTATCCTGAGAATATTGATTGTGATTTACAAAACATCAGTCATGCAACTGCGATTATTCTTATGACTATATATATTGGATCGTTGGTATTTCAGTTGAAGACCCATGTTAAAGATGTCAGAATTTATTTTTTATTTTTATTTTATCACTTTTATGTTATTCCATGTCATTTCACTCTATTTTCTTTGATTAATGACAATTTCTTTTTCTTGATGTACTACAGACACTTAATGCAACAGAATTTAAAAATAAAGAGATTTTATACCCTTGGTATTTTGACGTTTTCCTGTAAGCTTTATTTTTTTTTTAAACTATATTGTTATATAAAACAGTTCATAGCATAAACTTACACTAAATTTATTTTATAGGCTTGCGGGTACCGTAGTTGGCATTACCTTTTTCGCCAAGTTCCTTGTTGAGGATATCGAACACTTGTCTGAAGAATATCACATTGGAAGTGGTTTTGTCGGAATAGTAATTCTTCCTATTTGCGGTAATGATATTAAATATTTTATTTCTAACACATCTAATTTACATAATTATATATATATATATATATTTATTTATTTATTTATTTATATTTATATCCCTTTTTGAATTCTTTTAGTCGTTTGTAACTTTATTGAGCACTATGAAGCCATCAAAGAAGCTTATGAAGATAAAATAGATACAGCAGTTAGCTTGATCCTTAATACTACCGTAGTAATTGTCATTTATTTTGTTTTATAACCTCTTATGTTAATTACTACTTATTAATGGTTATTGAATCTTCTTTTAATGTAGCAAATGGCTTTATTAGTGACTCCTCTACTTGTCATAATTGGATGGATTATTGGTAAACCACTAACATTGGATTTCAATCTTTTGGAAATTAGTGTGTTGGCTTCTGCCGTTCTGATTGTCAATTTTTTGGTGGCGGTATGTTATATATACATTTCTTATATGATGCATATGTACATTTAATGTCTTTTTCAATATTAATTTTATGTAATTGATTCAATAGGATAATATGGCTACCTGGTTAGAAGGATTTATGCTTATTGTAAGTTTAATTTATTCTAATTCATTCCAATTCATTCCAATTTAATTCATTAAACTTATTTTAATTTATTCAATTTCCTTATTTTATTTTTTATCGTTATTAGGCTTCTTATTTCCTTATTGCAATTGCCTTCTTTTATTTCCCTCAACAAGAGGACAAAATACCAGCTGTATGTTATCCCTTCAACAGAAATTTAATACCAAGTAATACTACAACAGCCGAGCATTAAGCAAACTAATGTTTATAACAGTAATATATGCATCTAACTTTAAAACATGGTTCTAGAATTATTTATCTTATAATTTCATATATTGTATATTAGTGCAAATATATTAAAAATGCTGAATTTTTATATATATGTGTAATATAAAATTACAGAATATCGTGTAAACCTTCTTGTTTATATAATAACATTAATATTTAGTAGTAAAACGTGTAACTTTTAAAAATTTATAAATGTAAGGGAGTTATCATTTTTACTATCAAGATGTTGGATGAGATGTAATATGAACATTGAAGTAATTATTGAATTATGAATTTTTAAGAAATCATCTTTAACTTAGAACTCTGTTTATGAAACTTTTCATTTTCATCCTAATAAAAAATAAAAAATAAAAATTCCTTGCGAGATTCTGGGTTAGGAAGTTTTTTATTATTTTATCCAATCTTAACCACCTACTATTAATTTTTAAAAAAGATTTTTTTTTTGGTTTAATTTAATTAGTGGTAATGAATGGTAATTTAATAATGTACCTTTTTTAAAATAAAATGCGTGATACTATTCAATAATTTTTTTATTATAAAATATAATTTTTTAAAAAAAATTCAAAGTTGATGTAATCAGGCTATATATACACTATATACGCTAAATATATATTTTAATGTATATATAGTTAGAATGAAAACTTTGTGCTGTTAATGAAGTTCATTTGGAATTGAAACAAAGGACTAATAATAAGAATAATACGGCATGTGTAATATAAAAGAAATTTGTTTAGACAATTATTTAACAAATAAATACTAGTACTTAGCCCGTCCTTAAATGACGGGTTATATGGTAGAAATAAACATATTGTTTAAATATGTTGTACGTGAATATTCAAAGACCGTTATCTTATAGAGGTTATATGTCCAAACTAGGGTGGTTGCAGAGCCACCGGACTTTAGTAGCATCTAAAATAGCGCCATTTTTTTTAGCAAAATAGCTACGTAGCAACATTGTTTGTGCTAAATATGCGAAACTTGCCACTTTTGCATTAAACATGTGATCATTACTTTTGTTCTTATACAAACGAGCAATTATATGTATATTTTAGATGATGACCGAAGAACTCACTGAAATGATATATGAAGAACTCGCAGAAGAGAAATATGATTACATTAAAATTTATACTTAATAAATATAAATTTTATAATAAGCTATTTTGCTAAGTTTGCGAAATTTACTAGCTAATTTTGCTAGCTAGTTTACTTTTAACGACCGGTGGTTGACAAGCTGGTGAGGCGAGTTTTTGTTAGTTCGCCAAATATTGGCGAGAATTAAAAAGATTCTCGCCTCGCCAGCTTGCCAACCCTAGTCCAAACTGTTCTGAAAATCAAGAATGAGTTTTTCCGAAATTCGGATAAATTTCGACACGGGCCATATTTTAGATAGTCAATGGATTTACAGATTCACTTGCACTGTATTCTTTCTTAGTGAATTTCATTCAAACACGTTAGTATGATTTATTATCTCCTTTTATTCTCCTTATACTACAGTATTAATAAATTTTACAACTGCTGTTTTCAAAAAGTGTGAACAACGATTTACCAGATTTTAAAAAATTCTGTCAAAAATTCATAACTATTTTTCCATTTTAAAATAGTTTCGTGAATCTGTATAGTTGATTGTCGTTTTTCTAGATCTTCATTCCAACATTTATTTAAAAGATTTACGTAACATGATATTCTTTTAATAATTGTTGATCTCAAACCTTCCCGAATTTCTATTGCTAATCTTAAATTATCATCTTTATAGTCTGTCAATACAATTTTTCCAAATGAAATCTCTCACATAATCATTTCAAAAGAATAAATGTCTGATGATTTGGTGAATGATTTTCCTTGCAAACTTCTGGAGCTACATATGGTAAAGTACCATAAATTCCCTGATTCTTGATATTGCAAATCCTAAATCTCCAATATAAGTACTATATAGTTATCTTGAAATATATTGCCGCTATGTAAATAACAATGAATAATATTATTCGAATGAATTATAGATGGTGAAATTATTGGTGAAACTGGTGAAATTTAATATAACAGCCAATCAGATTTTAGATAGCCGCCAGTTTCACCAGCATCTATAGTAATGTGTACCTTCATCTTTTGATATTCCAATCTGAATATGCGATTAAACTTTAAAGATTATATTTATTAATAAATGAATAATATCATTACCAAAATTTTAAAACTTTATTAATTATTTACTTCTTTATGAGTTCCTCAAAACTATTTTTTGATCCATGAAACAATTTAAGCGAGACCAATTAATTTAAAATACCAACATCCGCCTTTTCCAATTCTTTTTATAAAGTCTAATTCATTAAATGATCCACAATATTGACAAATTACTGTTTGATAATAATTTTTTGGTGAAATTACATATAAGGGTCCAAAATGAAAATAATTACATATAGGAGTTCGAAATTTGAAAAATATTACTATCAAGAGTCCAAATTTATCGATTGTAAGTTTTTAAATATAACCTTATTTTGACAGTTAACTTTATTACTTTTTAATCAGTATTTCATTTATTCTCTTAATGTCTTGCATGTAATAATTATAGTTATTTTTGTCAATTTCTAGAAGTAATTTGAATTTTTCTACGAATACAAATTAATAGAATAGTCTTGTTCAAATAAACATGATAATACTAACAACATTCTTAATCTAGTCAAATTATATTTTTAATTAAAAGAAAGTTGACTAAGAGTGTATAGTATGTTTAAAGTAGCACATATATATGGTATCAGAAAGTTTTCAAGAGGTGTTAACTAACAGGTGTAATATGTTGCTTAATAAATTTTATATAGTTTAATACTTTTATTAATAAGATTGATGTTAAACAATAAAAGTATAATAAATGTCTAATAATTACTTGTTATGTTGTGGATGATAACCAATTACACAGTATGCTGTAATTATCTTTTAAATACTTTCTCAAATCTCCATCTTTAATGTATTCCATTACCATCACATAATCTTTAGTATTAGGATGCTTAGATACACCGTAACACTTAACAACTTACTCAAACTTAAATAATTTATGATAAGCGATTTCTTGCAGAAAATCGTCCGTTACTTCTTCGGAATTATTAAGACTTTTTAAGACAACACAGTAGGTTATTATGTATATCACATGACGAAGTCACGTGACATACGTAATCCCCTACTGTGTAATTTTTATTAGACGTAATTTAACTAATAACTCACTTATTGGGTATGTCTGACGTAAGCACCACAGTTTTTCGTATATATTATTCGTCACTTTTAACTTTTACTTACTTTCGATTTAACCTTTTTTCTTACTAATACTTTCGTTTACAAATATTTTCGCTTTACTTTTTATTAAAAACTATGAATTTTACACAAGCTTCTTAGCTTCCAACACAAGAAGAAATCGACCAATTACAACAAGCTTCACTTGTTTCAAACACTGAAAAAAATACATCTAAGTAATTGTGAGTTGTTGAATGTTTTAATAAAAATTGTAACATTTCAAAAAAAATAGAACTAATTAACTCAAGTAAAGAACTGGAAGATTATCTCTACAAGTTTATTATCTGGTTATGAAAAAGTAATGATTCTGACTATAAAATGGAATCTATTCATAACTGCTACAGTGCTCTAAATCAATATTTGAAAGAGTATAGCATCCTTCAACCAATCAAAATTTGGGATCGTTACAGGTTTTTTGTGTTTTATATATGCTTGATAGAAAGATAAGAGTTTTACAAGACAAAGGTTTGGATGATCCTAAAAAATCTAATAGGTTAATTATGAATAAGATTATACAAATTCTTGATCATTCATATATGAATACTAATGACAATGAATCATTTATTTATTGCATATTTTTTTGGTTTTGTTTTTTATATAGATTGAGGAATAGAAACATATATCGACTTGCTAGAAAAGATCTTGAGTACCATTGAGATGGAGGATTGGAGCTTGTGCTATATAGAGAAAAATAATAATCAAGATAGTGCATTTTATAGGAACAAATATGGTAGAACTGGTTCATAATGAATTCCTATAATATCAGATTTATTTAATAACAAGTATATACTGATTAAAGACATTCTTTTATATTTGTCTAAATTACTATTACCTAACTCTAATTTAGTAAAGAATCTTCTGTTTTATAAAATCTATAAAAGTAAAAAAGATATAGATCTACTTATACTTATACATATGCATGTATATTTTTATTTGAATTTATTAACCTTTTTTGTCAAGATCTGCAAAAAGGTCATTGGTTTAAAAAAAATTCAATGGATTTTGTTAAACTTAAAAAAATAATAAGTAATATTGTATTTAATATAGAAATTGATTTTAGTAATAAATGTTTAATTACAAATCACTCTTGTTGATATACTGCTATTTAGTTTTTAAGAAACAAAAGCATTTCTGAGTTTGATCTTTAAGCTTTTTCTAGAAATCATTTTCGAGAAAGTTTGGCTAAATATTTTTCTTTTTTTAATGTTAATAGTGAGGCTATGCTTTTATTTTTATTGAATATTTAATTGAGATTTTATATAAAGTACAATTTTGCTTTTAAAATATTATAGAAAGAATA